CCCCCCCCCCCCCCCCCCGAGTTAACCCTCGCCACATAGATTTGGATCTGTGCAGAGGACATCGTGACTGTTACAGTTCTAAGTGGTTTAACCCTTTAACAACCACCCCAAGGCACATGTTTACGGTTTGAGTCGTATATTCCCCAATGCATAGTTAGTTTTTCTTGGAAGCATGCAAATTTTCAGTGTTACTCTTATATTTTTAAATGTGACCACCCTGACCAGACATGCAAGAGTCTAAATGATCAATACTTAAGTTCATATACTAAAATGTGTCTCACGGGTAAAACAGGAGTTGTTAAAGGTTAGAAGTCAATTAAAACTACTTCATGCTCAAAGAATCTAATCCAAATTTACCATGAAGCTTCTATGATTTAAATCCCCCTATGGGATTATTTGAATTTCCTTAAACTGTTAACTGATAGAACTCTAGTTACACCCTGTAATAGCTGCAGATAAGATGTTCTCATTAAAAGTAAGGAAGGAGACAGCTGAAGTGAAATTAAGCTCTCTCTCTAAGTCTACACAGGACAAGGCTGACCTGATTTACATTAAAATATTTTACACATTAATATATTTCTAAACTGGTAGAAACATGGATTAATACTTAATGCGCATTCCCAATAAACAGATAAATATTTTTCTCGATTGACTCACTTTAAATTGCTCCCGAGGCTATGGCAAATTATTTCTGGGACTACAGCTTGTGTACTATATTGCTATTCTTCATCTGCCAAATGCTGCAGCATATGGAGCCAGATTGCCCACATACCCCGAGGAACATTTCTAGCACAAACATCCTTCCATAAATGTTTGATGCAGAAGTTATTTAAAGGCTCTGAGTGTGCAGCAACATGCTAAACATTTAATAATCTAATGTATTTATAATCTTGTTTTAATTTATGGCTTTACAGAAAACAGCGTTTACAATGAACAGATTACAAAGTGTAACAGTTACTTTGTCTTATTTATACCTCTCTAGCTGCCGTGTACATGCGGCATTGGCAACCCAGACGATATGATGATCGACCCCCAGATCACTGGCTACGGGTCCATGGATGTCAACACCACAGGGAATTATGGGATGCCAGAGAACGGCGGTCGCCAGGATCGAATGTTGGCCCAGGTTTCCCTGAATGACCCGCAGATCACAGGCCAGGTTCAGCCATCCAGAGCCTACGTGAACGTCTGGATAGACACCCACGCCATAGACAAGTACTCAAGGGTTTTGTTTCCTGGTGCGTACATCCTCTTTAACATCATCTATTGGTCCATCTACTCGTAACCCGGGATGAAGAAGTAGACTCGAGGAGCTTGGCTCATTTGGGAAAGAGCAGGAAAAAAAACATCATTGCATGTGATGCTTTTCAGACAGAGAAACTGCATTTAAGATGCATGGGGACCTTTGGCAGATTGGTGACCATTGCCTTCTCGACCCAGCCACTTAAAACTGAAGAGTTTATAAATGAGTTACTGACAAACAGGACGATCATTGTTGTCGCTGGTTTTGTCAATGGATCAAGTCGATGTGGTTTCATATTGTACCTATAATGCTGTTGATGGAAAGATTGGACTGACTGCACAGAGATATTATCCTGTGCAGCGAATCTAACCATATTTCAAAACCGAAAATGAGAACTGAAAACGGATTTCTGACATTGCCAGGATATGGACAGATTCCTTCTTCTTTGCATATGAACTATACTTGACAATCAATGGTACTCTTAAAATACTTTAATAGTTCGGCTTATTTGCTTTCTGGTGGAAAGTTAGAGAAGACATGAGAGTGGTGTCAATCCTCTTATCGGACTCTTGGCTGAGAAAACAAATCAGCGCCATTACCCAAAACGTGGGACTATTTCTTTAAAAAAAAAAAGTGATTATTCTTGAAGCTTGATTTTTCATTTGCAGCACATTAGAACGATTCAGTATGTGTTACATTTTTCATGTGATCTTTGTATCAATGCGATTGTTTAGCTCTCAAGCTACTTACTGCGTTGCATTCGTCATTTGATAAAGCAAAATAATGCTGTCTATTAAAAACACAAATGTAAAAATATATGTTCAGTAAATCCCAAACACTGATTATGGTATTGACTTTTTAAAAATGTCCCTTTTTTCTTCTTTTTTTGATACAACTGAATCTCATCTCTGTTTGGTGTTGTGGGGCTTTGAGGTTCACTGTGACCTGTTAGTTGCTAGTTTTATCGTCCTATTCAACTTAAAACAACTTCATACTTTGTTCGGCAAAAGATATATTCCAATATATTTTGGGGGTTAATGAACAAACATGTTAAATTAAACTCTGGAAAAATGTTATATATGGGGAAAATGTTTAATAAATGTTTTGTTTTCTGAATATGTGAAAATTATTTGAGCAGAGCTTACGTGCTCAACAACACAAACACAAAACTGTACATTTTAAATCTCCATGTAATACATTTAGTACGTACAAATATAAATGGATTGAAACGCATGGCTGAATATTGCTTTTTCTGAATATTGCTGCTGCAGACATCAATTAAAATCTGCTAAAACATTCTGGAACGACCTCTGAAGTCTCAGTGCCAAATGTTCCTCAGGAGTATGTTCCTGCTCTCTTACACAGAATATTGAAACGGTGCCGGAGAATAAGCTTTCACAGTTATTAGACGTTGGATTGCCACCATGCTGCAGGATCTCTCTTCTTTCTATAGCACAGGTCTGATTGCTGATGAGCTTTTCACACCAAATCATATAAACTGCATATTCTGTAATACCATTATCTGCTCACGTGTCGTGAAGGGATATGTTAAGCTAATTTTCAGATTTCTCCCAGCCAAATATGTGGATTATGTTGAAGAATGTTTCCTTTTTTTAAACTTTTCTTTGCATCAAAGTAATGTCCCAAAGGGAAAGTTGACGACTCAACCTTTGCGCGCCATCATCCCTCTAAAAAAACAAAAATAAAAACTTGAACAAAGGCATCCCTGCACATGAAAGACATGAAAAGGATAAAGCATCAAAAAGATGCTCAGAACCTGATGTGCCACCACATCTGTGACCTCTCAAGGGAAGCCAACGTTTTGAATCGACCTGTGTGCTGGTGAAGGCATGCCTGGAAATCTAAATGAATGAAATTACATATAATTATAAAGCAAGGAATCTCTGTCTGTCTGTGTATGTATGTATTTGCGTTAGTTCTCGCATATCTCAAGAATCCGATCTACTCCACACTTGGTGGTTGTATTCCTGGGGACCAAAGGCAATGCTCTGTCAAAATTTCACGCGACACATTCAATATTAATAAAAAATAAACAAGTGCTCTGATCAGCAGCGGAGGCAGGCTTCAGGGCTCTGCAGACTGAGTCCAGTGTGTCGTCTGCAGCTGGCGTTTGTAGATCGCAGCTCTGCAGTTCACTGGATGCTGAATACGTGTCAAGGATGCTGACTAATTAAAGTTACGACCACACTCTTCTTCATCTCCCGGGTGTCAACACCAACTGAAAGCAGAGTTGAACCAGAGTGCATTCACCGGTGTTTCTGACCGTTGAGCAATCCACGGCTTGGGTGTGTTTTTCACCCGCGAGTAAGACTGTATTTCCCCAGTGTAAGACCGATACTAACTTATAACATTAATAATGTTACTGCTAGCAAAATACCTCTGCTAATTAAATCCAAGCTCTACTTTAGAACCACGGTGGTTATGTCATAGAAAGTGCTAATACTGCTAAAATTACCTCCGCTAAGTGTATTTCACCAAAGTTTTTAACCGCAGGCAACAGCGACTTTGTGTGTGTGTGTGTGTGTGTGTGTGTGTCAAATGTGGATTTAGTGATCTGGGAGCCCGAGGCAAACGCCATCTTGCTTTACTTTTCACGCTTTCTCTAACTGTGAATGTTGATATTGGCAGTGGTAGAAGAAGTAGGCCAACTCAAAACTTTCTTTTCTGAATTAAAACTATTAATACTGCACTTTTACTTGAAGTGAAAGTGAGACATTCTCACCACAATTTACTTAGCTATGTTCACGGTGGCGCTTTTAATATGATGCTGGATAGTTTAATGAATTATAATAATCTGCAACATCAATTGTAACATTTCTCTATCAGGTAATGCAGTGCTAGGGTTTTCCTCTGAAGTAGAAGTACACAGTAAGTAGTAGGCTATACAGTTGAATTGCATATTTTTAAGTGCTTTTTGTAAGTCATTTTGGGGTACAATGAGTTAGAATGGTGACATTTATCTAAATAACAATAGGTGGTGCTTGGGCCTAAATGCTAACACATTTTAATTTAGCATGCCAACAATTGTCATTCAGCAGTAAATGAGAACTAGAGCTGAGGATTATATGAATGTGATTAGTTTTGCCGGTATTTCTATTTAAAATGTTGGCGTTAATCATTTACTAAATTATCATTTCATTGTGCAAACTATTTTTCCAGTTCCTGGCACCACACAGCCTATAGAACGGGTACCCATGTTGATGGTGAACCTAATGAAGGTGGTATTTGAGATACTCAGAGAGGCCCTGTTGTCGAAAATATTACACACCGAGTTGTAGTTTTACGGCTCTGTCCTTCAACCGTAAACATACAAACTGTTGAAATGTGCTCGAGTTAAAGCTTGATTGTCAGCTATAAAATGTCCTATAATTATTACTAAATTAATTGTATTTATGGAGCTGTCAGAGCTGTATTGCTGCCTTTTAGTTGTTTCTCCTGTTTCAGTTTGGCCAGGCTGAAGTCCTCCCTCACTTGCCTCAGCAGAACAGGGCAGTACACTACATCCACAGCTGTCATAGCCAGGGCTTTGGCTGTCCTCAGGGTGAACAACTGGGCCTTTTCAGCTCCTGGCACAGGGGAAAGAGCAGAGGAGGAAAATAAAGCATCTAAGCAAATAGAAACTTAACAGACAAACCGAGTGACCTGGAAAGAGTCTGAAACCGTCTGATCGTAGTACAATCTAATTCCATCGCAAGAAAACAACATCTGTTCCCAATGGACACGTGCTGCCGTACCTGCTGCTTCGGTGTATTCCTCGGTGTGGTTAAACGCCTCGGTGCCAATGTAGAAGAAAGGATGGATACCGGGAACTATGAATGATACGTTGCCAAAGTCTGTAGAACCTGCCAAATAATTATAAATACACTGATGACGATTTGTTGTTAATTAAGTGAACAAAAAAAAAAACAATCTTGGAAAAAACACAAGTTCTGCTGTTTTCTTCACATTTCTTCTGCACAAAGCAGGTAAAGAAAGATATTCTTAAGTGTAAATAATGTCCGTTTCTGTAATACTTCTTTTTTTTTTATCATCACATACCAGAGAAGTTGGCTGACTGCTCTTGAAACTGAATCCCCAAAGCTTTTCCATTATTTTCATACAGGTTTGCCAGTGTGGCATTAGGCAGAATGTTATAATAGCCATGGCTTGGGTAGATTATCTCCACCTGAAGGAAACACAAGTACGCAGTCATTCATAAAACGAAGGGTGCAACGACAAAGATTACTATAATACATCGACACCTTACGGAGCCCCATGCATGCTCTGTAATGCGAGTTTAACCTGCCTGAAGCAAGTGCGGACGTAGGAGAAAAGCAGCCTGAAGAGAACGGTGAATTATGTTACAGTAGAACAACACTCTAAAGGGAAGACAACATTTGTAGGCAAGCTTACTCGGCAGCCGGTGGCGACAGCAGCTGCCCTGAAGCAAGCCTCCGCTTTGGCCTTCAGGTCACAAAGATCCTTAACCTGCGGTGTGCGCAGATAATAATTTAACTCAGTGTAGACGGGGATAATGTTGGGCTTCTCCCCTCCATGTTTGATGATGCCTGTAGTGGAGGAAATGGAAACAATAGGAGGATAAGTTGGGATGCATCCATAACACTGAACTATTCCACATTTGATCTAGGTTATACTGTCATTTCTGATTACCATTAGAGGTAAAAAACAAACAAACAATCCCTCTACATTTCAAAAGGCAAATGAAAATATGTTAGATACTTGGAAAAATTGCCCTACATAGTTTAAATTTTCATTTTTCCTGAGTACAATATGGACTTCTCGTCCGTGTCGGTTTAAGCAATGAATGGACTTTGAGGTGAGATTGTTTTTGAATGAACTTTGAAGCTCATCGAATCACAGTTTCTGCCTGTTCCCTCACCGTGAAGCCTCCACTCCGGCTTGAGTTGCTGTCTGAGTGCAGAGAGATTGTTGTAGGCCAGCACAGCAGCATCCAGGGCGTTTACTCCCTCCCAAGGGTATGCAGAGGCATGAGATGCCTTCCCGTGGTACTTCACCGACACCCTGTGTAACATCAACACAGCGGCTTAAGGGTGATCTGAAATACGTAGACGTTAAAGGACACAGAACGCGTCGTATTTCCATAAATGCTGTAAACAGGAACGTACTCATCGAGTGCGACGCAGGGCAGGAATGACGCATCTTGCTGGGCTGGGTGAGCCATGAAGACGAGGTCGACGTCAGCGAAGGCTCCCGCCTTGATCAACTCAATCTTTCCTCCTATATCTTCCTCTGCAGGAGTTCCCAAAACTGTTATCTGGTATAAAAAGTGTTTCATTTAGTCATTTGACATCATCATGTGAGCTCGTGTGCGTCAGTCCGCCTCACTGGACAAATAAGTCACAAATAAGGTGGACGTTCACTCTTGACATGGAAACAGTGGTTTTAACTCAAGGTCCACTTACTAGCTTTTGCAGAGTGCACTAAACTCAGTGTATACCGTTGGAGTTTGCTTCAAACACAACTAAAGACCGCCATCTTTAAGCAGAGACAGGGGTTACACATCTCTCCCTTTCAAACAGGACCACATGTCTTCACCATACCTCAGCCATCTCCTAAACAGCTGACTCAGCAAACACCCGTCAACTGAGGAAGACTGCAAGATGCAGTTGAAAGCTCCAAAAAGACAACTTGAGTCAGAATCATCTAAATATGCCGAGTATGCGTGCACCAACAAGGAATATATGACTCTGGAAAGACGATTTTTTTTTTTTTTCTGGAGCTTTCAATTGCATCTTGCAGTCTTCCTCAGTTGATGGGTTTTGTGATAGGTTCATGTTTTGGACATATTACACATGTTACATAGTTTATTCTGTTATGTTTTACACATACGTCAGAACAATATACACTTTTGTACAAACAAAAAGTAATACACTCATATATAACCACAACAGTTGTTAACTTTTCAGAGTAATTACTGGAAGTGCAAATGGTGATTGTTTGTGGACTCTCAGAATATAGGCACGTCATTGGGATGTTGAAAAATATAAAAGATTAAGGAATAAATTCAAAAAATGTATATCTTCCTAATAGGAAACCTACTGTGGCCAATTCATGCATCAACGCATCTTGTTCTTATTAGGTTATCTATTAAATAAATCCATTTATGTAGAATCAAAATATTTCTACTGTTATATGGGCAGTACAATGTCATTTGCTCGGGGGTTTCTGGTCGTCTTTCATTGCTTTAAGAAACAAAGCCATGTCTTGTGAAAAAGACAGAAGACGTTATGGAGATTTTAAAATCATTAAAAAAAAAAAAAAAACAGTGAGCCGTCAATGTTTGACTTCTGGCTGTTTGTTGATGAATTAAACCTGCAGCTCCCTCGTTACCTTCACTGGTTGAGGGAGCTCAGTCCGGACCTCTAAAGCAGCTTTCAGCCCCAGAGCGGCCGCAGCTCCCACCTCCGCTATCAGGTTGTGACCGCACGCGTGCCAGATACCCGGAAGCGCGTCGTACTCGCAGAGGAACCCCACGTTCAGCACCGGCTCTCCCTCCCCGCCTCCGCCGCCGCCGACCGGGCCCCAGCTGGCCCGGAATGCTGTCGCTAATCTGTAGTGAGCTTCGACCGTCCACGTGTCGTCCTGAGAGAAGAAGCGGACCAGCCGGTCGTGCGCGTGTGTCTCGTTACCGGCGAGTTCAGGACGGCTCCAAATGTCCCGACTTAAGCTGTGCAGCTCGTCTTTGTGTCTGTCTATGCACCGCTGCACGGCGTCTTTCACCTGCTGTGGTGTCTCCATGTCAGCCCACCGTGCAGTGAGGGGAGGTGGGGAGCTCCTGAAATAAACTACTTTGCGTGACACGTGGTTCTGCTTTTGGATGAAGAATTGTTGGGTGCAAAGACCGATTGGCTAAAGTGATCTGTCGTCCTGTAGACATTTTTGCACCGTTCAGACAATCGGAGAGTGGGTGGAACCGGAAGTAGATTTATATAAACGTGCATTTGAAAATTTAGTTAATCTGGGTCGGTACCTAGGGTCAGTACTAGATTGACCCAGTATTTTTCACTATTTTTTACGATACCATACGCAGTTGAGAGCAAGATAATGAGCAAAAAACTATACAATACTGCTTAGAAGGGTAATCTATAACAGTATATCATAATGCATTTGTTTATTTATATACAAATTAACTAAATCTGTCACATAAATGTAGTGGAATAAAAAGTACAATATTAAAGTGGTACATTTTAGAAGCAGCATAGAGTAACATAAAATGTAAACATTTCAAGGACAACGACCTCAAAACAGTACTTGCGTAAATATATACTTGTTACATTCCACCATTGCCTGTAATAAATCCCTCCCTCCATGAAGGTTATAGAGTCCATCTTTTGTTGAACCTGTTTTATTTAACATATGGTAACTGCATTTTGGAGGCTGCAGTAGGAGGTGCTGTTGAACATAACCCTTGACAAACCAAAGCACATTTTTTTCAATGTTAGTCAATTCAAATTGCTGCTTCTCCACTGTGTTTAACTTTATCAAGATGAATCAGAAGCCTTCTATCAGGCCCATGTGCTGTGCTGTATCCAATGACAGTAAATGTAGGCTAGGAGTAAAATCCATCTGTTACCACACTAGGGGGACCCAGAGTGACATACTTTGGTAGAAGGCTCCTTCTGCACAGGGTTCTGCATTTCATTAGCAGTGAAAATAAATCTGTATTCTGCTGTGTTTCACATTTTAACCTTGGAGATTTGAATGAATAGAAAAACCATGACAAAATTCTATTACTATTCTATTCATTAATTAAATTATTGCCTTCAGCTACCCGGATGACTGTACACATGCAGCAATCAAACAATGCTGCCTTGCTGAGGAGGGACTAACTGAGAGCCCTGTAAAATAAGGTCAATTAGCGCTGAATGAATAAAGACAAAGCTCTGCAGCTGTCACAACCAGTGAGTGTGTGTGTGTGTGTGTGTGTGTGTGTGTGTGTGTGTGTGTGTGTGAGAGAGAGAGAAAGAGAGAGCAGGTGTACTTAGATGTGTTTTTCTGTCTGTATTTGAGTTGGAGGTTAATTGGGGCCGGTTGTCAGTCACAGGAGGAGACATGTTGAACAGCGCTGAGCAAGCTGACATCTGACATGGCCTGTCTGTCAGCTTACTTTACGCCCTGCCGGTGATGCTGACACTCTCCATTGTGTATCAATTAAGTGACATCGAAGGGAGGCATCCATGTGTCACTCCATTGTCTTATTCAGGGAGTTGCATTGTGAGCATGTGTTTCATTTCCCATGATTACGCACGTTTTGAAGCAGTGCTTCCAGAAAAACCTGAGATTTTTTGTGTAAATGTTAATTTAAGACTGTTTTTATTTACTGCAAGATAATTGTGATGATAAAATAGTTGCAGGAAGAAAGCCAACTGCCCTACAGACAAAAGTAAAAGCGATTGCATCCCCTGAGTGATGCAACAAATAAAACCCCGCATGTCACTCTAAGCTCATGATACATGCGTCAACACGCGTTCAATTTCTCAACCAGCATAGATATTTTAGGTTGATATTTCATGCATCACACCCTGCCGGAGTGATGCATGAGTTGTGATATATGCGTCACAACAGCAGGACGGCTGGTTTTGACAGCCACAGTGGATGTGCTCCCGATGACAGTATTCAGTCTCTGAAATGGGAGATGAAACAAACAACAGGCTTTGCTTGGATGTGTTTTCGTGTCTGTGGCCACATCACAGAGTGTGGTCCACATATTAATGTGTTTGTGCCTCTGCTCTAGCCTCCATGTATGGAAGCCCAAGCCAGCAAAAAAGAATAAAATGTATAAAATATGGTAAGAATATATATTTTTTAATTATAATTATTATTTTGACGAAGAGAGTCGGGGTGACTATTTGTACAGCAACAATTTCAACCTATTGATAGTCTGATATTGGACATCATGGCATAATAACCCCCAATTCAATATTGTTGCACCAAGCTAATCTTTTGCCCATCAGTTGTGTTACTGATACAAAATGATTCACTGTATGGCACTTTAAGAAATGTTTTCCAGGAATGCTATGGATTTGAATAAACTCATCTAAGTCCCTTCTGCCTGAAATACATGTACCAGTTGCCCAAAATTGCACATGAATTTTAAAACAATGCATTTTCTCCTTGCAACTCATCACTGGTTACATTCAAATTGCATCTAGAGGCCAGTAAAAACAGCAACAACAAAAACAAGAAAGTCTGAAAAAATAGACATAATTTTGAACACAGTTTGGGAACCTCTGTTGTAGCCATTATCTGCAAGTCATGTATACTTTACATTACAGCTAACTATTGTGCAAACCATGTGCTGCTGTGTTTTAAAAACTTACCAAATTATAAACTAGATATTTTGATACACCATGAGCATTTACATTTTTTTAATGAAACCTTGTCATCTTCGTTCTTTTCCCTGCATAAATTGGCTACCATATCAGCCTCAACTGTATCCATTAATTTTCTTTCCAACAGACATATATGAACCCTGACAAGTCACTGATGAGCCTGATTTTAAACATGAGGTTCCAGCTGACTGAAGGAAACTGACAACTTGTCAGTCGTGCTTGCTCCATCCTGTCAGCATCACTACCTAACAAAATGCACCCTGAGAGGAGTCCCCTGGAAATCGAGCCTTCAATGTTCGATATCGCACAGCAAGCTGCTTGGTATAGTTGGAAAATATCACCGGAGGGCCTCAGAAATATGAGCGTGCATGTGTGTGGGTTCATGTGCTACTCAACAGTCCCGTTTCTGTCATTAATGTCACATCAGTGCACACAGTGTGCCTCTGCGTTCTGCGAGCTGGAATACATTAACACCTCGGTTTATCAAGTCGTCCTGCATCTTCAGGCGGTGGAGTGGGGGTGGAATGGTGCCGCACAACATTTGTTCTTGTTTTTGTGATGGTTTATGATTGAATTTAGGTTGAGACTCCTCTCTGAATCGTGTAAACCTACATAAACAACTATCTTTTACACTGTCAGGGCAGGTGAATTCTATTATTGAGAGCCGTGATCCACATTGTCCATATTATTGTCTTTGTTGATTGTAAATTAAACAGTTTATAGCTGCTTCAAGTCATCTCCAGTAAATAAAAGCTTATACATTTGGTGTTCCTAACACCCTTGTAAGAAAAAAATCTGGCACACAGATAGTGACACGTTTTCTCATCTCGGGTTGCAACAGACAGGAAGTGATTTGTTTGTAATGGATGGAGGATGAATTAATAGTCTGCATAGGCAGGAGAAGCCATGATTGCTCTGCAGAAAGAGAAAGGAGCACAAAATACAAATGGTAGATTTGGATGAAGAGCTGTTATAGCGATATCACAGAAATCACAGTGCAAAGGGAAAATGACTCATTAAAATACAAAACCTAGATTGCTCTTTGAACAGAACACTTTTTCCCTGTCTTCAGTCTGAATCGTATGTTTTCTTGTCTGTCTGCGCAGCTAGCGGTGCCCTTTCTTTGTGCGACAACGCTGAAAAGGCTGCTGTCTGCCCCCACAACATCAACCTTTGTGGGCAGTGTGTAGAACAGTGGGAGTGCGAGGAGTCCCTCCTCAGAGGGGCTGCAGTCAGACAGCAGGGTGTGTGCAAAGTGGAGCTGAAGTGCCGACTTGAACTCTTACTAAATTGTTGTGCTGGAGGGTCTTTTATGATTACAGCAAATAAGTAAGTGGTAAGAAATCTGAAATGCTATTACTCCTCGGGGCGACCGTGGCTCATGGGGTAGCGAGCCCCCGGCTCCCCGGGCGCCTATCATTGGCAGCCCACTGCTCCCTATATACAGGGATGGGTCAAATGCAGAAGTCAAATTTCGTGTATGTGTATATGTATATGACAATAAAAATCTTAACTTCCTTTTTAACTTCCTAACTAACTTCCTCAAATTACACTTACTGTACATCAAGCAGATACATCTATATTAAGGCTTTCTTGTAAGTTACCCCTCTTTTTACATCAGTAACAGGAAGCTGTCGTTGAAAAGGAGGAGACTTGTTGAAAATAATTGCTAAGCCCAGAGACCAGTTGACATATTGATTGTGCAGAACAGACCACAGCATAGCCTGATTTTCATAGGACCCACATGTATTGCGTTTGAAAGGTTTGATACTCTCCTTGGTGCACTATAAGCTGAATGTCTTCAGAATTCACTCTGTGAGTTCCTGAGGGGGAAGGACCAATTTCAGTTTTCTGCTCCAGAGGATGGAAGAAACACCTCCTTCTCTTCAGAGGATACCCCAGCTCTGACAATTGCCACAAGCACAAACCGTTTAAATAAAACATTGACTGGTTAGATGCCAGACAACAGGGGGGGGGGCAAATGTCTGCGGAGAGGACTGTGGGATCAATTAGGGTTCAGTGTTTGTCTCTAACAGTGAAAAGGTCTGAGACAACACAAGAGAAATATCAGTTTTTTTCAACCCTTTCAAAGGAGCATGAGGGAAACTGCTGCGTCAGAATAAACCTGCCCACCGTTAGCTTCGACAGTCTTTGTGAAGCAAAACACAAGAGGAGCTGCTGTTGAGGAGACACAGGCAGATAAAGAGGAGCCTGCACAAGGCAGTTTTACTACGAGAGTCATTAAGACAAAAAAAAATACAATACAATTTATTATAATTGTCCAAGAAATATATTGAGTCAGTGCACAACCATGACCAAGATTACAACAAAATAATATTGGTTAGAAAGAATATTACTTTTTAAATTCTTGACAGAGTGATGCTAGTCGAAAGCTTGATTTAAACTTGTGGCATCTGCGAGGGTCGTGAGTACATGTTTTCATGCACACTCATATTCAACTATTATTTCAAATATGACAATATTCAGAATTTGAGATGGCTCATACAAACATCATATTCCTTTTGGGTATTTCGAATTAGGTCTTATTCCAAAAGGAGCA